ATATCCCTACAGGGATGCCAGCCAAATACCAATTGTATTGTGGCTCGAGGAATTTGCTTCTATTTCCTGCATATATTTTTTCTTTCAAACTATAGGATTGTCATTTGGTGCATAGATCTAGGGATGTTTATGTGCTGGACAAGTCATTTACTAATTTAGATGTCACATTGCATGCCTGAAGACAATTAGTAATGGAAGATTACCATACTGTGATTGTGTACATCCTATTGTTAGTGGATCACTGTGTGTATTATACTAATTGATTCCAGTGTTCTACAGGGATTTGATCGAGAAGGAAAGTTACGAGCCATTTGTGGTGGTGGACGATATGATAGATTACTCTCTACTTTTGGAGGAGATGATCTTCCAGCTTGTGGCTTTGGATTTGGTGATGCTGTCATAGTAGAAGTGAGTCAAAACTCTTATATATTTGGTCTTTCATTTCCTACTCACACTGTAGAATGTAGATGGAATGATGCCCAAGTTGCAAACTACATTCCACAGAGTGATGCTTGAACTGACCTTACCAGAAATTACGATGATGGTTCACTTTACTTGCGGAAATGCAAAAATTGCCATCTGATGAATACTTTTCTAGAAAAGTAAAGTGACCGACAGTAGCATCTTTAAAGGTCTTGATTTTGCCGTTTCATTACATTTAGCTGCTTAAGGAGAAGGGACTCGTACCAAAACTTAGTCAGCAAGTAGAATACGTAGTGTGCTCACTGGACCGGGACCTCCAAGGTGCAGCATCTTCTGTTGCAACCAAACTTCGGGAGAAAGGCCAAAGTGTTGACCTGGTCTTGGAGAACAAACCACTGAAATGGTACGGAGTTGCTATATAACCTGTTTCTTGAGTGATACTAGTGTCTGAACTTTTCCCCAGATCTACATAACTTTCACATAAGAGCTCCTCCCGATATTATTTGTTCTTGTGTTGTGTTATAGGGTGTTCAAACGAGCAGCGCGAATAAATGCACGCAAGCTGGTATTAGTTGGGAGTGCAGAGTGGCAAAAGGGTATGGTTGGTGTAAAAATTCTGTCAACCGGCGAGCAATATGAGGTCAAAGTGAATGAGCTATAGCAAGGAAAGGATGTAAAGAGAGTACTAGTAACTTTTTTTTTTTTTTTTAATGGTAAACTGAATTGTTATTTTTTCCTGTGTTACATGCACACACTGACTGCTTGTTTTACAGTAGACACTATCTTTGTCTAGTCATTTATCCACACGCTTGTTTTCAACCTACTTTTCCAAGTTCCAATTGCACTTTGTTTTCCAGCTATAATAATATCAGTTTTAGATTTAGTTCATACGGAGTATATTTTAATTTTGACATATTTAATTCTCTAATTTCATAAATGTTTCACATAACTAAATATGTCCTTAAAAGATGGAAATTTGGTGAAAATTCACAAATCTTAGCAAAGTTATCCATGTGTCCAAGAGCATCTACATAAATGTTTTTTCGTGGTTTTTGGAATAGTAAAAATCAAGTGTGTAGTTTTTGCACAAATGGGAAATGAGATTTTTGGGTGTATTTTTCTTTCGCAATTGCAAACCTTTTGTGGGGTTCATTGATTGAGAAATGGAAACAAAGCATAATGTTGAACCACGCGTGTTGAAGACGCAGGTGCCCGGGCGAGTGCAATGCACACGCCCGTTGGGCGCTTGAGCTGAGTTTGTCCTTTTTTCTTTTTTTTTTTCCTCTAGCCTCTCTCTCCTACATGGCTATGACAAAATCCACCAAAAAACAAAGCTGATGAGAATGCACATTGCAAGTGTATAGAAGGTTCTCTCTTTACTTTCAAAAAAAAAAATCTCTCTTTCCTACCTATCTACTTTTCATACATGTTGACAAATATATTAGCAGTCTCTCTCTCACTTTCAAGTTTTAATATTTAAATAAGTGAATACAATTCCACTTCTAAATGATTTTTGTACTATTTTGAAATGGTTCTTAGTGCAACAATGCAAAGTCTGGTCATAGTATAAATTTCAATTCAAAGGGAATGATTGCAGAATATACAAATTGTATGTTTGGGACTGGCTAATAATGGGAACCAACTTTATTTTGAATCTTTTAGATTTAGTACTAAAAAAAGTTTACTTTTTGTGATTGATAGAATTATTGACTTAATTTATAAATATCTAACTTTCGTTTATTAATATAACAAATAAATTGTACTTCCATGGAAATATTAAGTTATTTTTATTAATTAATCAAATAGACACCACCATGCAATTGCTATTTTTTGGGTCATAAGGAGAAATAAAGGATCATGGGGATATAAATTAACGTAGGTTGGCATGTACTTTTCATCCATTCGTACTTATAAAAATAAGTCACGAACTTTTCAATTAATGTAGTGTTGATGCAAATAATCTGTAGTTCTTAAATATTAACTTGATCTGGTATGTAGTAAATCAACAAGTATTCCAAAATGATACAATCATTTTCAATTTAATGATTATAAATTTATCATGTAATTATCTTATAATGATATAATCATGATGATTATATTATGTACTCCGTAGTTTAAACAAAACAAAACAAAACCTAACAAAAACATTATTTTCACTTTTGATATGACCCATCAATGGTCATGTCTTTTCCATTCCTACCTGTTTTGTACTTTTGTTTGTTTACTACCGGATTAATAGAAGGAATATGATACCGCCTCGTGTACACATTTTACTTGGATAAATAAAAGTAAATAAATAAAAATAGTGATCTATCAATCAAATGGTGACATCTCAACATGGAGTAAAAAATAAAGTAAAAAGTGAGAGTACATGTAGTAAACTTTTAATAAAATATAAATTTGATTTATAGAAAAACCTGCAGTGTGGCCCTTATCGAGAGATAAATCATTTAATGTTGTCTATAGCTGAGTGTTCCAAATAAAGAAAGATAATAAACAATTTTTACTGTAAGTCAAATTTGAAACATTATAATTACCATGTCAAGTATTCTACTAATTTAGTTAGGATTGCTACATAAAAATATAAATTTTACTTTCAAATACCTACCCAAAAGTGGTTTTTTTTTTTCTCTTTATAACTGCAAACATTTTTGGTGATCTACCAAAGAAGAAAATTAGAAAAACATAACAAATTTGGATTTCGTTTCCAAAGAACAAAAGTGCCACGTCATCGGAAATTCTTCGTAGGCGGCGCAGGAAAAGGAAAGGCAATAAATTCCAGGGATATGCACTATACAAATTACAAGAATAGTTGGGGCCCTGTTGTCTTATTAATTACTAAACCACCCAATTGAATGTCTTGTTTTCATCATTTAAACCCCCACTTCCATAAATGAATCTCAATTCATTTTGTTACGAAAAATATTATTTGTATCATTTTCTTAATATAAAAAATTATATTTTTTGCCATGTTCTCATTGTTCTGTTTAAATGATATTTTATGGCGTTGACTAATCGCAGCTATAAATAGTTATAGCATTTATTATTATTCACACAAATTAATATACAATATATAGTGTAATTGACATTTTTCTTCTTTAATTTTTTGTTTTTTTTTTTTTAAATTTTATAATATCCTATCTTTTTTTTTTTTTTTTTTTTCGGGGGGAGGATTGCGACACCCAACCATAACACTAATTATTTTTAACATCTATCTCAGCAAATCTCTCTCACTTTTTAAAATGGGTCCACTTTCATATCATCAAATTTACAACTATTTGTTCTACATTCTTATAAATTTCTCTCACTTTTAAAAATGAGACTCACTTTCATATATTATATTATAAATGTAATAAAATTAAAAAAAAAAAAAAGAAAAAGAACAAGAAAAAGTAAGTTGCGAGCAGTTTTTGCTGCCAAGCAAATTGGCTAGCCACATCATCAACCCAATTCAATAAATAATATTTTTTTATTGTGACACATCAACTTGCTAATTGCAAATTTGCGGGGATAATCCCAACCTTAGAATCCAATCCACAACACACACTTGGAATCACTATGTACGACCACCTCCCAGTTGTTATACAGTGGACCATGATCCACACAACACTATTGTCAAATTAAATAAAACTGGAGTGTAATTAAAATGATACAATGTCGTGTTGCTTTATGGCTCATGTTGCTACATTGATCATGGTCTACAGTAAAATTTGTCATACCCTTGTTCCAAGCTTATTGTAGTCCTTTAAGAATAACCCAACTCTCGATCCCCGATCTCCTCCATTTGTATAGCTTGAGTCTTCCACTCCCCCAGTCCGCACCATCTCCCTAGTGTGTTTCATAGCAATTAGCACACCCCCAGCCCCCAATATCTTGGCCTTCCACCTGGCCTATAACACCTTCTTCTGGGTGCTTCGATGCAAGGAGACATTGTCATACCTATTATATATATATTTTTTCGTGCATAGTGCAATTATATTGACATATTGTGGGATAAACTAATTTAACCTATTATCAATATGACAACTCACACAACTTTTGTTTTTGTTTTTTGTTTTTTTTATGGACTCATACAAAAATTCAAAACGTCGCAAATACAAAAATATTATTATTTTTCTCTCATTATATTGTCTAACTAAACTTGTTTTCAGAAAAAACCCATAAAAATGCAGTGGTTGTGGGGTACTATTATGAAGTAAATGAAAGTTTAATACATCAAATGTTAAATATTATGGATTATTTCTCAATTACTCCATTGTCATGGCAGAATTATACATAAAAAATTGTTTTAGGAAGTAGAATTTTCAAGAAATGAAGACCCTAACTAGAAATTATGCAGCCGTCTAGGGCCCGAGCATAAAACTGAGAAATCAAGGAAATAATGTTGGAATAGAAATGGAAACATAAAAAATGGTGGGCAGGGCTGGTGGTCCAAGATGGGCATTGAAATGTGGAAGAAAAAGGTATGGATTGAAAACGACGTATTAGCTCTTTGTTTATATTTGGAGTTGGAATCATCTGAACGTCCACCTATCCCAGTCTTTCCATTCACACGCTTCATATAATATAAAATATATAAGCTATTCTTCTCAGAAGACAAATGCCAAGTCCGTTGAATTTTGTGCATAAAAATAGTATCTGTGTGAAAGAGAAAACTCGTTTACTTCTCTGATAATCTTTTTTTACCTCAGTTTCGTGTTTGATGTGAGTTTTGCTCAGTTTCATCTCTGGGTATTTTGTTTTCTTCAAACGTTATCAGATTTTCTTTATTTTCTTGAAAAAAGTCTTGAGCTTTCTGGTGGCTTCTCGGGAAAGAAAGGGGCTAAAAGCTGTGCCGACGGAAAGCTGCTTTTATTTTGTTTGTCAGTCGTTTAGTTTTCTTGTTTGATTTGTATTGGGAGTGGGATTTTGGATATCTATCTATGTATCTAAAGCTTTGATTTTTTTTTTTATTTTTTTTTGGGTGTATTTGTAAGTGGCAGGCAGATCGGTGGGTTTGGAAATTTTGCTGGTAAACCATCTGGAGGGTTTTAGTTGCTGGGTTTTGTGTAATCTGAATTCTTGTGAAGCTCTGATAATGGTTGGTTCATGGGTAGTAATACAAGACTGAACGTTGGTGGAGAAGTTAATAGGAGTAGCCCTGCTGGGATGCCAAGCTTCATTTCTCAGACACCACTTTCCAATCCTATGTAAAATCCTCTCTTAATGCCCCTTTTTGCCTTATGATTTTGTGTTTTTTTGTTCATAAGACTGCCTTTCTTTGCAATTTATCAGTTACCAAGAAAAAAGCTAATGTGGTTCCAATTAAATTTGTGTGTTATAGTTGGAGTCAATTTTGTACTAAAATACTAGATGTTACTATGTTAGACAACTGCTAATTTGAGTTTAAATGATGAATCTTGCTCTTGTTTATCTCTCTGGATATAGAGACTTGAATAAGTACCTGGAAGTTTCAAAAGTGAATCGTGATTTTCATGATTTATGCTTAATGGAATTGTACTGATTCATGTATGAAGGTGAATTCGTTTTTTAAGGTTTTGAAGCATTGGCAATACACTGATCATTATATGTTCATTCAATATTATAAAGTTGATGCTTAGTCCATCAATTCAATTAATCGGCTCGCTCATACTTTTGGATTTCCAGGGGTACAGAAGGGAATACTGCACATACTTCTCAAGTGTCTGATTTTGGGGTGCTCGAGCAATACCTTGGATTCCGCATTGGAGATGGTGCTAATGTCAATCAAAGTGTGTATCTGTATCTTGCTTTTTGGTCATATTCACTCACTTTTATCCTGAATGCTTATTCACTTTTTCTTTAAATTCGTTAATTTCTTAAAACATTCTCTGGGTTTTGGTGCATTATGATTGTAAAAGAATTTGTTAACTGCCTATTGTGTAAATGGTGCAAGAAATTTATAAGTTTTCAAAGGCACGCTTAGAAGCACGAAGGGTTCTATGTGGAAAACCCGCTTTTAGAATAAACTGAGAACAGAAAAGGAAAAAAATGGTTAACTGAAAAAATCGCTTAGCAGCAGAGTTTAGGAAAGTTGCGTTGTAGTATTTAGACCTTTTTTTTTTTTCTTTTTTTTTTTTTTTCTTTTTTTTTTTGTATAATGTTGCTAGAAAAGCGTGCATCTTGGACTTCAATTTGAACTTCTGAGATCTGTGTTAACTATTAATTGAGTTTTAGATTATGATATACCATCCATTCTTGGTGTTCTTAAACGGTTTAATGAAACATTTTTCTGTGGTGTAGGTAACTTTTTTAATTCTATGCCTGCAAGTAACCCATCACTTGTTGCCGGTGGATCTGGAATACTCAACAAGGTTATTGCTGTCACTATTCTTTGCCCAAAATTTGCTTACAATTTACTATTATTTCAAGAAAAAAAATTCCAAATTATAATCTCTATTATCTTGGTTGCCTATTCAGGCTATTCCTTCTTCAAATGCAAGTTTGTCTGCTGCTTCTCCTGGATCCCTGGCGTTGCAGTTGCAGAAAGGACCACAGACAAATCAAGTTCCCCTTTCTGGTGCAAATCACGAGATTTGGGCAGAGAGAAACATGGCAGATTCTAGCTCCCGGACTGATACTTCATCTGATATGGATGGAGATGATAGAAATCAACAGGTCATCTGCCTCAATATTCTTCTTGTTAGATTTATCCCTTAAGGGGCCTTTTGTCTCTTTATTTTTTGGGTATACCCAGGGTTTCCACCGTCGAACATAGTGACTAATCCCCTCACTGAATTGTAGGCACCTCTTTTGGGTGGGACAACTGGCCTGGAGATGCCTTTTGTCTCTTTGTTCACACTAAAACTATCTTTTGCGATTTGTTTTCTCATTTGAGAGCCTCTTCACTACCAAATTTTTCCCATATGTTTTAATTTTTCTTTTCAAGAGGGTGGTGAATAAATTTGTTTTGAAACTAGTTATTACGTCATTAATAGGTTAGATTCAACCGCCAAGGCTCCCGCATAATCAAAGTTAGTAAGTTGTATTCACCTTTACACGTGGTTGGGCCACTACATCAAGCCCAATGTTCAATCATATCTTGTTTAATTTGAAAATGTCTTTCCAAAAGTTTTATTTGAAAGTATGTGACGCCTTAACGGATCCTTTTTTTTTTTTTTTTTGAAATAAGTGTTATCGGATCCTAGTTTATTTGTTTATGTTGTATATTCACCGCAGTTCTTCACTTTGCAGTTTGAAATGGGTCAATCCATTGCTGCTGTAGCTTCCGATTCCAGTGATAGATCAAAAGAAAAAAAATCGGATCAAAAGGTTAGGTTCTTTACACTGACTAGCAATCTAGTATAGACAGTTTCGAGTTTGTTTTGATAACATAATATTTACAGACATTAAGAAGGCTTGCACAGAACCGTGAAGCTGCAAGAAAAAGCCGATTGAGAAAGAAAGTAAGCCTTTCTTCCGACTTTTTAAATTTACGTCTATTAGCAATTTAGCATACATGATTTAGACATTTGGCTATTTAGTTAAGCCCTCGTCAATTGATTCTAAAATAGTAAAATATCTTTTCTATTCCCATTATAGACATTGAATTAAGGAGCCTTTTATGATTCTCCTTTCCTTTTTAGGTTTTATTTCCATTATAGTCTCTATAACCCTCCTATATAAAGGGGATTTTCATTCTAATAAAAGGGACATGCAAGAAGTTAAGATAAAATCAGAGGTGGGAAAACTCTCGAAACGTTCCCTATTTCCCTGTATTTTGTTCCCCCAATTAAACTTAGGTTTTGCCTTTCCGCCTTTGTTCTTTTAATTCAACTCTCAACATAGGCAACCCGCAGACAACCTCCAATAACCCTAATCACCCTGTGATAAATGCGTTTGCCCGAGTACATAACAGGTTCAAATCCGATCGTTCTCCACCCCTCTCAAATGTACCAAAATGCAAACTTGCATCAACTAAGTAGTTAATAACACGCTTATTCGTTTCAATTGCACCTACTGTCATTTTTTTTTTAATGCCAGTGTTGCAAAAATCGCGTCTAGGCGCTAGGCTGTCGGCCTCCTAGGCGCCCACCTAGGCGCTCTAGGTGGTCCCCAGGCGCCTAGCGATTTTTTCAACAATGAATGCCAGTAATACATTCTGTCCATGTTATTTGATACTTTTAGGTTTCAGTTTAGGGGAAAAATGTGTATTTTTATTTACAATGTTAACTCACATCTTGCACTCTAGGCCTATGTTCAACAGCTGGAGAATAGTAGGCTGAAGCTAACACAGTTAGAGCAAGAGCTTCAGCGAGCACGACAACAGGTTAGGTGGTCATAGCTATACGTGTTTTTTGTTTCAGGTGGTTGAAAAGTTCCGAGAATCCTTATTCTTCTGTTGTATCTTTTTGCAGGGCGTATATATTTCAAGCATGGGAGATCATTCCCATGGAACAGGCACTAATGGTAAGCCTTTTGTTGAGTAATTAAATCACCGATAGCACCAGCTAAAAAACTTTAATACTTGGATCTTCTTTAATACATCTTTGTTGAATTTGGAAGATGGAATAGCCTGGCGGGTGGAGAATAACACCACCCGCCAGACGGAAGCAATGATGAAGAATCAAAGAATAGAAAATGTATATAAGACTGAAATATATTAGTATTATCTGTGTTTCTAACAAAGAAACATAGTGTATATATATATTCTGTAAGTAACTACCCATAACTAACACTTGTTTATGAACAGACACAATCCTATAGATAAACCTAACTCTTTATTTTTCAACATTCTTTACCTACCTAAAAAAATGTAAGGAATTGTAGATACGGAGTAGAAAATATTACTCTGTAATTAGGTGTTTTCTGATCGTATTTTTGTATAAGAGTTTCCTCTGGGTAAAGTAGCCTTGCTAATCTGCTGTACTTGCAGGAGCTTTGACTTTCAATGTAGAATATGCACGATGGTTGGAAGAGCAAAACAAGCGTGTTAATGAATTAAGGGCAGCGGTCAATGCGCATGCAAGTGATACTGAGCTGCGGACTATTGTGGACAATGTCACAGCACATTTCGACGAAGTTTTCAAGCTGAAAGGAAATGCAGCCAAATCCGATGTATTCCATGTATTGTCAGGAATGTGGAAATCCCCTTCAGAGCGGTGTTTTATGTGGATTGGTGGCTTTCGTCCATCTGAACTTCTTAAGGTAACTCTCGCTCTTTCTCCTCGTATCAATATAGCATGAGTAGTATGAGTACCGTATATATGTGCTTGTGCTATATACTGTATATCCTATATCCCATCAATATTGGCTTTATATCAGGCACAAAGTCTGATTGACTAACAACTTCTAGTTATTCAGTCCAACCAAACTACATAATAAGCCTAGTCAACTTGCACCACATAATTAAGGCCTTAATATATAACATATATTATATGGGAAAATCTTACAAAAAGGGCAAATAACATGCTCTTCTGATTCTATATCTATTTCTAACTTGTGTTTTCCTGAAATTGAATTGGTGCCAATGTAGCTTCTCGCGAATCAATTGGAGCCTCTAACAGAGCAGCAGATGGCAGGCTTATACAAATTGCAGCAGTCATCACATCAGGCAGAAGATGCTATTTCACAAGGAATGGAGGCGTTGCAGCAATCACTAGCCGAAACGTTAGCTAATGGCTCTACTGTTCCCGATGGGTCGTCTGGAAATGTAGCTAATTACATGGGTCAAATGGCAATGGCCATGGGAAAACTAGGTACTCTTGAAGGTTTCCTCCGCCAGGTAAATCCTTATAAAAGCCATCCTCATTTCGACCACACTTGACTCTTTTTGTGCATACCCTTTGAAAAGCTCACAAAGGTTTAAGCTTAAAAGCTACGTATAAAAAATGGATTGTTGCCTTAAAAAGCTCACATTCTTCTTTTAGTCTTTTAGTAATAGTATAGAATGTATGTGCTATGTATATATATCATTTTACACACTTCAACCAGCTTGGTTGGCGTGAGTGGTCGTGCACTCTCATCCCTTAAGAGAGGTCAGGAGTTCAAACCCCCTCTCGTATGAAAAAATCAGTCTGGCCAGTACTTTGCCCCTTAATTGGGCCGGCCCAGTGCTAATGGGGATTAGTCTGAGTATGGTACAGGCTTAAAGGTGCCTCCTACAGTTAGGGCATGCTCAGGACACTTCATGGTCTAACAAAAAAAAAAAAATCATTTTACACACTTCATATATCCTTGCATATACTCATCTTGGAAATAGTTTTAGCGATACACATAAAATACGTGGATGTAATCTTTTTCTTTTGCAACCTAACATCGCTTTGCCATTTATCAGGCGGACAACTTGCGGCAACAGACATTGCAGCAAATGCACCGTGTATTAACTACCAGACAGTCGGCCCGCGCTCTTCTTGTCATAAACGAATACTTCTCCCGTCTTCGTGCTCTCAGTTCTCTTTGGCTTGCAAGGCCACAAGAATAATTGGCTCCAGAACTTCATGTGGGGATGCAAACTAATCAACAAAATGCAGGAAAATTGCTTTGAGATCAGAAAAGTTTGATACTTTCTGGGGCAGTTTCAGTGAGTCGCAAATGTTGGAACCGTAAAAGGAGAATGCAACTGTGCAAGGGTATATCTTTTGTGATATGTGTTCAGACAGGTAGAAATTTAAGATTTGTACCATAGGTAATATTGTAAGAATAGTGGTCGATAATCCGAAGATGTTGTTGTGTAATGTTAGTACTGGTGGGAGCAGTAGTTGGGATAGCTGCAATCTGCAGATAAATGTAGAGACAACAGACTTAACAGAGTTTTTCTGATTTTAATATGAAAGGAAGTTTAAGTCTTTCTTTGGGTTCAAAATATTCAGTTGTGGATGATGAAGATTGAAGATATAGTTTCTGTTGGGTCCAATAGTGGCTTGAAATAGCATCCAAATATAGAGATGACTTAAAGAGAATTGGGTGGGGGTGGTTGTGTCAGGATCAATTACTTATCATTATGCCAAAAGTTATAAAATATTCTTTTCAAAAGGTTGAATCCCCAACCCCAAGGGCTTGACAGAGCATATGGGAGGATGTAAATCATGGTAACTCAACTGAACCACAGAGGCTAAACCTTTGTTTACTGCGCACAAGGAGCTCCCCTCAATTTGAGAGGTTGTTCCCACACTGCCGCTGGTGAGACTCGATTCCTGGTCATTCTTCTTAAACTTCACCCCTATGACCAGTTGAACTGCCCATGTAGGCTATGTCAGCAAAATATGATTGCATTGGTTGGGAACTTCTATTAGGGCAACCTATACACTAGTCCTTTGAGCTAAGCAGTTGATTGCAGAGGGCAAAATGAGAATAACAGTTGGGAATAGGGACACTAATTTGTAGGGCACCCTAAAAGATTAGAATTCCTTTAAAAATTGTGTCCTTGATGGGGTGGTTGTGGTTGTAATGAACAATGATTGGAAGTTGTGAGTGGTGTTTGAGAAATAAATGGTGCCTTAAAAGTTAAAAGCCTAGGCAATGTATGGTTCCTGTCCAACTTTCCCCGGAATGGCAACATAGACAAGCTATAGAGGCATATATAACACCTCCTGGCTCCTGATGAAACCGACAGTGGAACTGCTGTAGCTTTGGTGCTTCAAATCTCGGTATATATATGTTCGAGTACAATGAGTCATACACATAGACGAACATTGTTAATAGGGCATGCACAACTGGATGTTGACTTTGTCATGGTAACATTGACGCAGATTGATGTTACAACGTTGTCTTACTTGTCTCCCAAACTTTCAATTATGATTCCCCATGTGATTTAACATGGTTGCAGTACGCGCTAGGCGCTAGTTGGTCGGTAAAGTAGTGTTTAGCGTCTAGACGGCCTAAGTGGTTAACTAAAAAAAAATACAATGCACGTGTAGATATATATATAGGGAAGGGATCAGGTGTGGGAAGAGCTTCCCGTGCGGTTGTACGGGTGGACGCATATTAAACATTAAACTAATGCACTTTAACATTAAACTAATGCATTTTAAGTACACAACACACACATTAATCACACAAACAAAACACCTTAAGTACAAAACCACGCACCTTAAGCGCAAAACACACGCACTTTAAGTTTCAACAACTACTCACATTAAGCACAAAACTCACGCACCTTAAGCACAAGACTCATGCACCTTAAACACAAAACTCATGCACCTCAAGTTTCGACAATTACTCATATTAAGTACACACCCACGCACCTTAAGCATAAAACTCACGCACCTTAACCACAAGACTCACGCACCTTAAGTACAAAACTCAAGCACAACCGCACAAGAGACACTTAACCGCACATGAACTTAATTACATACATACATACATACACACATACATACATACATACATATATATATATATATATATATATATATATATATATATATATATATATATATATATATATGAAAATCAAGCTTTTTACGCGATTTGGCCATTTAAAACCAACCGTGCATCTTAAATAGAGGCCTAAACCGAATTTTGCAATAGTGTGATTTAAAGAGAATCAATCTCAACGAGACTGATGTTGCAATGTTGTCTCCCAAACTTTCAATTCTTACTTACCATATGATTTAGAGGCACTGAAAATAACAAAAGGGACGGTGATAAAAACTGGGTTGATTTTGACTTATTGTTTGCATTTATCCAAGATTGGGTACAAGTAATAAGATGTGTTAGTTTGAAACGAATGAAGTGATGATACATGTTAGTTTGAAAGGAGGCTAAGTGAGTTAAGATTAGATGGGTGTGGTGGGGGCAGGTTTAGATTGATGAAACAAGCTAAGTATGAAGTGAAGAATGGAATGGGGAAGGAAAGGACCCATGAGCCGGTTGAGGAGTTGGGATTTGATTCACGCTTTGTCTGTAAACTGTAAAGGCACAGCATGTGCCTGCTCTGCTTACGCTTTCAGCTTTCTCCTCAATCCCCCACGCACATGTGCTGTTCAGTGTTGTCCCTCTCTTCCTCTTTAACCCTGCCTTTTCCTTTCTCTCTCCCTATCCACTTTATGCTCCTTTTACCTCTGCTTTCTTCCCTCTCTCACACCATAAATTCATACAATTATATTCTACATTGTTCCCAACTTTGGTAGGGATAATGGGTACCCGATCCGATTTGGATTCTAATACCCCAAATTCAAATATTTAACAATCATTGTTTGTAAACCATACATTGTTTGGTAGGGAGGAATTAAATTATTTTGCATGTGAAGGCAATAAGTGAGGTTAAATGACATAAGGGGATCAAACGGGATCCTCTTGAGGACTGATCTCTACTTCCTTCGCTGAGCCTGACACCTGGTTGGTTGGACCGATTTTCTCGGATTTTCCTCCTACCTTGCCTTCCTCGTATTCTCTTTTCTTCTTTTCGGCCTCCTCTACTTCTGCGTAGCGGTTGGCCGTCCTCATTAGATCTTCACAGGAGCGAGGATGGTGAGTGTTTAGCTGCCTGTGAAAGTCTCCGGACCTAAGCGCTTAAATAAACACCGGGATTATCGCCTTTGCACCTCCTTCTTCCATCTGCTCACGAAATCTCGCAGGCCTTCACCTCTGCTTTGCCTTACCACGTAGAGATGAGAGAAATGCTTCTTTCGCGGGATATTTCCATAGAAAAGTAAGTCAAAAAACTTTGGGATAGCTCTGAAAAATTTTTAAATTGATCTATCTCCTATATATGTTATATATATGTCATGTCTTATACGTCTCCACTTGATAGAAATTTAAATAATAAATTGAATTTGGACAAACTTTGAAAGTAGAACAAATTAAATATGTAAAAATTCAAGTAGTAAATTATACTTGAATTTGCCATTGTGGCTAAGAAATGGAGAGTATAATTAACTCATCAACCTCAAAATTAAACATATTTAGTGCTTGTTTTGCATGTATTTATAGTTGTGAACTTGTCAGCTGGAATTTTGGATAGGCACACCACAACAAAAGGAAGACTATTTCTACTTTCTATCATCACATACAGCTTTTCCTTTTGGTAGTGTGCATAAATTAAAGTTGTGGTCTCGTTTGCGGCTTGCAACGGTAAATCGCAGCTGCTTTATTAGACCTTACATACAAATAAAGACCACACTCTTTACTTACGACTCCAACGTTCCAATCATAAATCATATGAACATTAGATTAGATTAGCCGTTGCATGTAGTGATGACAAAGGAAACTTAGTGTGAGTTGTAACCACAACTCAATATGACAATATCTCATGTTAAAAAAAAAAAAGTTTTCCCGCCGCATTCACTATCCGAATGTGTGTATTGTGTGAAGTTCACATTGTGATCCTAACCGACCAAGGACCACAAGGAAATAAATCAAGCTAATAAGTTGTTTATAGCTAACCGGCTCAAGTCAAGAAGACCAATAAACAACTCTCACAAAAGTCAAACTTGAAACCTTGTGGTTGCGTCAATATCTCATGTTTTAGATCTTACAAAACCCGACTAATTAAAAAATAAGGATATGATGGGATATCGTGTATCGTTTATAAATAAATTAATAGATTAAATAAAATGAGAAAATTGATTTTCAAATTTTTGAGAGTATCATATCTAATATCAAAATTGATTTTTATTTATCATTACTTGCTCTAGTAATAACTACTAGTTAAACATTAAATTTAATTTTGAAAAAAAATATATCAAATGAGTCTTTTAAGGCAAGCTGGTAATGCATTTGGCCATTTGGGTCCCTTAAAAGGTTATTAAAAAGAAGAAGAAGGAAGAAGTAATATATTCCATATCTTGGACATCCGTTCTCACCTGAATACGCCTATATATACGAGAATCACTCTTCAGGTGAGAATTGTGGATAAATTCAAATCATCAATCGGTAAGATCTGATAAATAGAAAAATAAGTAAAAATAAGAGGGGTCATTTTCATAAATATTATAAATTTTTAAAATTTGTAATTTTTATGAAAAGGATCTCATTTTCTTCTAATAGTTAGATTTATTAGATTATTGGTTTGGATATATCCACAAATTCTCACCCATGAGCATAAAAAAGAGTGGATAATCTATATATTTGCTTTTTTATATATGAAGTATTATTGATGGGAACTGAAAAAGAATAATGTAGGTGATCAAAAGCAAAGAAGAATGTTGAGCATATAATATACATAAAGATAACTGTGCAATCTAACTATCAGTTTAGACTTTTAGTTGAGATGGAATGCATACTTCAATTAAGAGGACCAAAACCACGGAAGAAGATAATCAAACCCCTACTCACGTCACATGCATAACAATGCCTTAATTAAAATTGGATGCATAGCAACTAGTTCCTCTCAACCTTAGTTGTCATTGTTAATTAACAACTCTTCTACATACATATGTCAACACCCACCCATCGCTTCGTTCCAACTCTAGTTACAAATTTTTATAACATTTTTTTAGAATAAATTTTTATAATATTTTAAGAGAGTTACATTGAGTTTTAATTAACTAATTCAAAATTAAATGGCAGATATATGAATTTTATTTAAAAAAAAAAAACTTTCTTAACTACTACTTTGTATTATTTTTAAAAAGATCATATCATTACACCGCAAAATTAAACTACTACTTTGTCTTATTGTAGATCATAATTCAAAATTAAACGACATTTAGGATATGTTTGGTTCATGAGTTTACACACTATAATGAATGATGAGAATCAAAATCATAGTTAATGTTTGGTTGTTAACTTTTTAAAATACAACAATGAGGTTTGATTATTCTTTCAATTAAAAATCTAATTTCTTAATTAAAAATGGGTATCATTATATCTGGTAATATGATTTTAAGTTGAATTATTGCTTTTAGATTTTTGTTTTGATTTTTTTGTTCGTGCTTTGAATGTCATTATATTAGGATCAATTGCCTTTATTTTTTTGTATTTTTAAAATATTTATTCTCATTATAAGATCATACATAACCAACCATCAATATTGGTACGTAATCAATCCAATTCCACCCTACTACCAAATAATGCAAAATACTATCACCAAAACTCATTACCATTACCAAGTATTTAATTCTCATTCCGATTCTGATTCCCTTGTGCGAACTAAACACACCATTAGATTATGTACTTGTGGTTAATATATTATGTATCTTTAGTTAATAGATTATGTATTTATAAATAAATTGAAGATAGATAATATGTTAACTGTATGTACATAATTACTAAATGCATGTGTATTATATGTTAACTATTGCATGTATATAATATGTTAATTGTAATAGTTGTAATATGTACATAATTTAATAATTATAGGTATATAACACGTTAATTATAATATGTACATAATCTAAATATCGTATGACACATAATCCTAATGGTTCAGATGTTTTTTTTTTAAATGTTACTAACTCTATTACATGGTTGTATATGTTCAAACATCAACACCTTCAATGAGGCTCGATCTCATGATCTCCTACATGAGAGAGATCACTACATGTCATCTGAGAACAAGGTGATTAGCGTTGGTTCAGATTCAATCTCATATAATGTATAGTTGTTCATAAGAAACGCATAAGATTTTCGTAACGATGCGCCGCGAGACATGAAATCCTAACCTTGCAGATATAAGTAGGGCAGTCCATTAATTAAATAGAATAAAATGATGACCCCCTATGGCCGTCTCCCAGAGTGTGTCTCTTTTAAACCCCGCCTAAACCTCCTGTTTAATTTAAATCTTCCATTTCAGACAAAATTAAATTCCTTTCTCTCTCTCTCTCTCTCTGCAGCCATTTGTCTCTCTCTCTCTCTCTCTCCCTCTCCCTCCCTCTATATCTCTATATTCTGTATATATATAAAATATATAAAAATATGTATATATTGATGAGTTGTGAGTACGATTACTAGAATAATGATGAATTCTATTTTCCGGAATATTTGGGTTGGAGTTTTGTGAAGGAAGATCTGCCTTACTCTCTCTGACTCTTGTCTTCTCTACCTCTCATTCTCTTTGTCTCTCTTTATTTGGTGCCTCAATTATGGCCAGCACTCATTCTAGTAGTAATGGTGAAGCCTCACTGGACCCCAGGCTCACGCCACCGCCGTCCTTCAAGACCCGGAGGAGGCTGCCGTCCGCCGTGCCCCGTGCCGCCTCCGAGGCCGATGACTTCTTTAACCTCTTCCACGGCTCCGATCCCGTCCGTGTTGAGCTCACTCGCCTTGAGAATGAACTCCGAGGTTAACATTTCTCCCCCGCTCTCTCTCTCTCTCTCTCAGCTTACTCTTTTTGTTTTCTTTGAAATTTTTAAAATAAGTAAATAAGATTTCTTCTGATGAATCGCCTCTGACAGTCTGATTGTCGATTGAAGGAATGTTCTGTTTTATCCTTTTTTTTTTTTAATTTAATTATTTATTTTTGACTCTTTTGATTTTAGATTTTTTAAGAAATACCATTTTTAAAAGCTGAATTTAGTTGCCTCGGAATTTCTTATCTCTGTGATTGAAAAAAAATATACATTTATAAATATGCTTATGAACTCTTTAATGGAGATTTTTGTTTTGTTTTTTTTTGCTGATGTTTGAATTTTTATTTGTTGTTGAAGGATTTGTCTTTACTCAAAGATTAAATTTGTTTAGTTGCTCAAAAATTTTGATTTAAAATTTGAAATCTGTTTCAAACTGTAAATACGTATGCCGATCACCTACTCCGTATTTTGGAAGAAGAAACAGATATGAGAAACTATATCACGTGGATAGTTTTGGATTTTATTTAATCTATTAATATAAAAGCAACATGGACAAGAACGAAATATTATATTTGAATCTTTTTGTCACACTGAGGAAGAAGCTAAAAAGAGAATTCTTGAATGCATGTGATACTGAAGCCAAATTTGATGGTCCTGCAGTTTTCAGATCTTCTTGGTGTTCTTTATTTTATTTTTTATTTTTTATTTTTATGTTATGTAACTTTCATTTCTTTTTCTATTTTGGGTCCCCTACTCTCTAATTGAACATGCCACAGAGAGGGTGTTTGATCAATCAATGGAATTCCGTTTTCCAGAATGGGGGAAGATAGAGAGAATTCGAATAAAAATATAACAGAATTATGTGACCTTGAAATATATCTTCTTATCTACATTTCTGGTTTGCATTTAATTAGGATTTTCTACAGGACATTAATACAAATTAAATTATTTTTATGTATACTTCTCACATAATAGACAATTTTTTTGTGGTTGTTATTTTTTGCTTCACAATGTCAGAGCATGCCAATCCAAGCCCTTATCATTTTCATGGAAAATTTGAGAATTGAGATTAGTGGCTGCATTTCTCTCATTCAACCTGATGTAGAAGTTTCAAACTCCAGTACCCTATCAAGGATATACTGAGCCAATGCTTTTGCTTTACATGTTTAATAAGCAATAACCTTTTGCGCATTTCTGGCCTTGTATGTGATACCAACTTTTTCAGGTAAAATAAATTGACAGCATGACTACTGTTCGATGTGACAGCATCGCTTGGCCTAAAATTTCATCTGTTGTTAGTGTGTCTGTATCCAGATGTCGAATATGTTCATATTTTCATACTGTGTCATGGACTTTGATGGCATACACAAAAGTTGGTTGAAGAATAAAAGGAAAATTATCAAGCTTTCTTACTCAAAATTAAACATGTAAAATCTTGTGAGAATAAAATTTTCATTTCAAGTTGACTCATCCCCTTTGCTTTTGATACTGTGTGGGTAGGATCAAATGAAAACAGAATCCTCTATAAAAAGTGAGGGCTGATCTTAGTCGTCTATTAGGGTTCATCAGGTTGAAGGTTTTAGTAAAAAATAAAGGGGGTTCATTTTATATTCAGTTAATCTGATTTTTAAAATGGTGAAACTTAAAAGCAAAAAATCATTTGCTGAACAGATTTAGGCAAACTAGATGAGTGGAATTTATCCAAACTTCATATAGATGCTTCAATTATCTCCACTATTCAATTGCAAAAAGACCATGGCTTATAGCCTATTTTATTCAACAATTATATCCCTTTTAAAAATTTGGTTTCCTCTTTGGGCACTTTTAATGAATCCATGCTCACAGAAAATGAGGATATATATGATCTTAATTTTGGTTTTGGTATTACAACCTTGTAATACTGGTTCTTACTGGATTATTGTATGACAAACCTTCCAGAGAAAGAAAGGGAATTGGGAGAAGCACAAGCCGAAATTAAGTCCGTGAAGTACTCTGAGCGCCTAAAGGAGAAGGCTGTTGAGGAGGTAAAGCATTTGAACAGGCATTATTTATTTTTTATTGCAACCATCAAGGATACAATAAAAGATGGATGTAGTTTAGCAAAAACAGAAATCTTGACATTTGAAAGAATCCCAACAGTTTTCAGTTTAATGTTGTAAATACCTGGTGTCTGACATCCTGTTCTTTGACTGGATATTGCATCCATATGTTTCTTTGTTAATACTTCTTATTTAAATTTTGTTCCTGTGTTCAAATTTTTATCTTGCTTGCTATTCTGTTTCAAATTGGAAACATTGCCCTTCAATTTCCTCTATTGGTGATCTTTCAGCTGACCAATGAGCTAAGTAAAGTGGATGAGAAGCTAAAAAAGACAGAAGCTCTTTTAGATAGCAAGGTACATTCACAGCTTTTCTTACTGCTTGCTTTAGTCATAGAGTTGTGTTATAATCCGTCTGTTTCCAATTTCATTTATATCTTGATACTTGAGTAGAATTGATTATTGTTCAACTCATAGATTTTGAAATGCAAAGAGGTTGAAGAAATATTTTGATGATTTCAGAATCTTGAAATTAAAAAATTAAATGATGAGAAAAAAGCTGCTCTGGCTGCTCAATTTGCTGCAGAAGCCACTCTTCGGAGGGTACATGCTGCTCAAAAAGATGATGATTTGCCTCCTATTGAGGCAATCATCGCACCACTGGAGGCAGAACTAAAGCTTACAAGAATGGAGGTATCAACTTATCACTTTGCTTCCACACCTTGAATCCAGATTATGTGTTAGGCACACTTAAGCATTTGTTTTCCATTATTACCTTTTGAGTACATATGCATGGTGCTATCACTTTTTAGGTGGCAAAGCTTCAAGATGACAATAGAGCACTGGATCGCCTTACTAAATCTAAAGAAGCTGCTCTGCTGGAGGCAGAACGCACTGTTCAAACGGCTTTAGCTAAGGCTGCCTTGGTTGATGACCTGCAAAACAAAAACCAAGAGCTGATGAAACAAATTGAGATATGCCAGGTTTGACTGTGTGAAAACCCTTAAATTTCCAAGGAGGGCATGTTTCCCCTATTAGATTCATTAAGAGCTTCATCAGATTAATATATATAGAACTCTTTTATCAGGAGGAGAATAAAATTTTAGACAAAATGAACAGACAGAAGGTTGCAGAAGTTGAAAAGCTAACTCAAACTGTCCGTGAACTTGAAGAAGCTGTATTGGCAGGGGGTGCTGCTGCTAATGCTGTAAGGGATTATCAGCGAAAAATGCAAGAAATGAATGTAAATTTCCCTATCTTATAGAAATTCTCTTTTAGCAACTCATTAATAATTATTTTTGTGACATTTTACTACAAATTACGGAGTATTAATGTTGCACAGGAGGAGAAAAGACTTCTAGATCGGGAACTAGCTCGTGCAAAAATATCTGCAAATCGTGTGGCTGTTGTTGTTGCAAATGAGTGGAAAGATTCAAACGAAAAAGTAATGCCTGTAAAACAGTGGCTTGAAGAAAGAAGATTTTATCAGGCATGTGATGCTTATGTTTACAATAATTTTGACACAAATTTTTTTAGTTTTTCTTGGCTAGTATTATTACGTGGGAATTTGCAAACAAGGAAATGATATGAGAGAGTTTTTTTTTTTACCTAGGATTATAATATGAAATATTAATTCAGTTTGCAAGTTGCAACTGAAGTAATTTTTTTTTACCGAGGCCTTGTTTCTGTGCAGGGTGAAATGCAGCAGCTACGAGATAAGCTAGCAGTGGCGGAGCGCACTGCAAAGGCAGAAGCACAGCTCAAAGTGAGAATGCTTTTAGAACATTTACGCTATTTTCTTCTCTTCTGTTTGTGTCTTTATTTGATTCCCTCTTGATGCTGTTGCCAGGATAAATATCAATTACGGTTTAAAGTCTTGGAAGAAAGACTTAAATCGAATTCTAATGTTACTTCCCGCACTGCATCAGAAATAAGAAGTGTAAGCAATGGCCGCACACGTCGTCAGTCATTTGGAGGAATAGAAAGCATGTCCAAACCATCTCAAAATGGACTCTTGTCAAGAAAAACAAATCAATCCGGAGCATCCGGATTGAAGAAAGCAAATCAATCCGGAGCATCCGGATTGAAGAAAGCAAATAACTTGTCAACATGGTTTGATAGAAACAGCAAATCAGAAGGTAAAGATCAATCAAATGGGAATATAGATGAGAAAGAGTTTGGATCTGGAAAGGCAATCAGAGATCCCCATAGTAATGGAATACTCACTTTGCATGAGAATGGGAATGGGAAAAGTACTGATAGAACGAAATTGGAGAATGAAGATTATGTTTCTGGTTCGTTGTATGATATGCTGCAAAAAGAGGTTATAGCTTTGCGGAAAGTCTGCCAGGAGAAAGATCAGATGGTCAAGGACAAGGACGATGCAATCGAGGTTTACTTGTGTTCCCTATTCTTTTCTATTAACCTCTCTTTGACGAAACCAGTTTTCTTATTGGGTGCATATTGCATAATAATGCTCAGATGTTAGCAAAAAAAGTGGAAACATTAAATAAAGCTATGGAGATAGAAGCTAAGAAAATGAGGAGAGAAGTAGCTGCAATGGAAAAGGAAATAGCTGCAATGCGTATTGGGAAGGAGCAAGATCCAAAGATGCGGCGTTCAAGTTCTGTCCGGGCAGCTGCAAATGGCACGACGCGCACTCATTGAGGTGAAACTTTGCATATATTTCATCTTGCTTTTCTCATGCCTACTAAAAATGCTTTTGGTTTTGAACCACTATTTCTTGATTATGCAGAAACCCTCAGAGATTGCGAGTTCTGCAGGGAAAATTGTCACTCTCCTGGAAATGTATCCCTGCTCAGCTATTAGAATCCAGTTGATATTGTGTTGCCAATCTACTTAAACTGTAAAGAACTTTAGACATTCCCATTCTGTATATCTTTGTAATAACATTGTTGATGACAGTATTCAAGAAATGATTTTCAAATGTGCTGTCAAAGAGAAAAGAGGATGGTGAATGTGCTGGTCTCCGTGGTACAAGAAATTCTACAAAATGTATAAACCTTACCTTTAATGCGTGTGTATATATAATATATATGATATGTTTTGTTTGCTCCTGCTGATTTAATTATTAGCTGCCAATGACTTTGTGGTCTAGTGGCATCAAGTTGCTTTCCTATGGTTGAGAAAATAGACGGTATTGACCCTTGTGATTCAGTAGGTTGAGAAAGTAGTTATAAACAGATACAAAAAAATTTATTAGCGACTAAAATAAATATATATTATTTGATAATTATTCTTTTAGTATAAATAGTATGGCCTTTATTTTAGTGCGACTTCTGAAATTAGTAGTTATATTAGTTTTAGTCTTTTAGAGTTGAATTGCTATTACATTCAAAAACTTATATGGGAACCACATGGTACGGAAGAAGAATATCCCATGGAAGTATCCGAATCAGTCACATATCAAATCAACACTTTCTCTCTCTCTCTCTCAATACTTTTTTTTTTTTTTTTTTTTTTTTCATTTAAATCAGTTTCCGATCATTTCTGTAGCCGTGATATGCATCGTTTGCGTTCGTATATCAGCTGCCGATTGATCAGATGAACGTTGGATAGGCGGTGATACGTTACACTTGTTTGCGGTTTGAGCATGGTAATGGATGATCTCTATATATGATATACAAGTAATCATGCTTTTCTACTTGTTTTTAAATTTTCTAGAAGAGGAGATGAGATTGAAGTTGTGTTTGAGACTGGTGATCAGATATTCGGATTGTTAACTGAAAGTATAATTTGGTTCAATCTGTGAAGGTTTATGATTATGGTTATGAACGCGGAGTTGTTTATGAATTATTGACTTGAGTAAGTAAAAATGCTCTGTACAATCAATTAGACTGTTGCTTTACAGGATACCATAGTTTTTGAGGTTTTCTAAAAAGGTTTCTCCAACAGCGGAGCCATCTTTAACAAAAATTGCAGGGTAGCCGATTGGTGCTTCCACCATAGCTTCATAACCTTGTTTTGAGTACAGTTTCCCTGTCCAAATATGTTTCCATGAACTGCATTCTCCTATTGGGAAATAAGCTTTAACACTTTCCCTGCCTTTGTCTAGCACAGGTACCACAAGGATCTCGCGTCCGATAAGAAACTGCTCATAGGTGAAGCTATGCACGCGATCATCATCTTGATAGTGAAGGAATAGGTGCCGGCAAACAGGGAGGCCTTTCTGAGAAGCTTCCTGTGAAAATTCATTTAGGTTCAGAATGTTAGTTGCACTCTTCTGTTTAGTTTCAAATTAAACAACTGAATTGTCTTGAGGATTTGATTATCACCTTAACTAGTTGAATCCTGTAAAACTTCCAAGCTTTATACACCTTTGCAAAACGTGCAAAATGTGATAAAGTTCTATTGTTGGAGTAGAACTGGGTGTTGGAAGATGGCTTGTTCCCCTGAATAGATACATCAAGATTCAGGACATGGAGACAACTCATAGCTAGGTTAAATAGTGTATTCAAATAGTTGAATATATTATATATCACTGTATTTTTATTTTTTTTTTAAACATATCAGGTGGCTAATATGAAACTTACTTCATGTGTTCGGAAGATGGTGGTGAAGGCATTTAATTCCATCCATCGGAGGAGCAGCTCTTCACTTCTTGTGTACTTAAAAAACGGTATGTTTACTGAACAGTAGCCTCCAATATCACTATGGTTTAGAGCATACCCAGACATTCCACTGCTAAGCAAACCAACCACAGAACTCTTTATCCCATCATTGGTTTGCCAGCTGACCATTTGGTCTCCCTCCCAGAATAGCATAGCCCATCTAGGACTATTTCGATAACCAGACCTCATGAAAAACACCAAACCTTCTTCTTGGTCTTCCATTTCATTATATATGTTTGTGCTTCTCCATTCATCCACAAAATCGCGGTTGATTTTAGCCCATAGTTCTGGATATCTATTATGTGCAGCAATTGGATCTTCACCTAGAAAATACAGAACTTTAGAGGTCAATTGATGCACTGAAGTTATATTGACTGAAATATTTATATTGTAGTAGATGGGAGTACAACAGTTGCAGTGAAAAACTTTCTAGTTTTTTTTTTTTTTTGAAACCAAGAAAAACTTTCTAGTTAAGATGCTACTGGTTTGGGTGATGGAAATTGGAGTTTGGAAATGTTTGTATTCAAGAGAGGAGTTCCTTTTGGTGGTAGACCAGAACGGAATTGTGTCATACAATGGAATAGAGGATATATAATTTGTTAGCAGAATCCTCTGAAGAACTTTGAAGCTGAATGTTAGGCTTGAATACTAGCTTTTAGTATTTCTCAGTCAAACACATATGCAATGTTTTACTTTCCTGCTTTTTTACATTCTGAATAACCACTCTGAGACATGATTTTAGTTTCAGTATGATTAGTCGCAGACCTGAATAGAGGCAAGCATCCACTGGCAGGCCTTCACCAAAATCAGCCATCCATCCTCTGACTCCATCATCCACCATTTCTTTCAACACCTGCTTGAACCAACCTGCAGTATGCGGATGTGTCAAATCCAACATTCCCACATCAAAAGCTGTGTTGGGCACCATGTACGGTTCACCATATTTGTCTTTCACTAAGATGCCCAAGTTCTTTGCCTCCTCAAAGAGGTGTCTCCTAGTGTTTGGCTTTGTATCCATCTGCATTAGTGAACAGGTTCCTAAACATTGTCAGGCATTACTATCAGCAATTAATCATATGATATGTGGAGAAGGTTGTGTCAGGTATCAATAATTGCTATGGAGTTTATCAGTAGCAGTGAAGATAAATACCGGGGCAAGGCAAGGATTGCAATAAGTCATCACTTTGATATGCTGAGCATTAAGATCTTTAATTAATTGCTGCCACCCATAATATCTTGTGCTATCTGTTTCCCAGTTCCACCAAAGCTGTGAACCAATCACTGTCTCCCTCTGCCCTACCCAATCCTACAAAAGTAGTACTTGTTGAGCCATTGTGTGCAATATGGTCTTCAATGTTGTTTCAGGTTTCATCACCATAATATCAAAAACAAAATCTAATTCAAATTGCTGGTCTAGTTGGAGAAGTGTGAATTTAATCTGCCTTAAAGCATAATCCCACTTCTAATATGGATCTTTCATGAGTTCAGGTGGATTTTGTACCTGCAACCAGAACGCTGACACTGGGACACCTTGCCTTTGCATTTCATTCCAGATGCTGCGTACAGTATCTGTGCCCCCCTGCATTCCCACCACAGCACCAGAAATTATCCACTCTGGAAGTTCTGGGGGCCTTCCTATACTTTCTGTTAAGTGCTCAATGAGCTCACAAGGTGAGTCCCCATGCAGTATCTGTCCTTCTAATGAATCTCCATTTACCTGCAAGTTTGGTCGAATTATAAAGAGAGTGACCCAGTATGTGCTTGGCATGCATTATGAATTTGTGAATTACTGATAAAACATAGTTTGCTTATGAGATATCCAGGTAAAAATAATGCACATGAGAGTTTTTATGGTATTCACCAAACACAAGGAACAATAAGAATTGTGAAAAACCAACCATGTACTTCTTATAGCCATACCTGTATCTGAACTCTATCATGTCTTGTTAGATCAAAGACTGAATAGTTGTACCCCTCCAAGTAAAGGGATCTCATTTTGGATGTCATGTAGAATGGCGAAGGAGCATAAGTTGTACTCCAATCTCCTCCTGCCCTATATTGGAAACGAAAAATTTTACGTGTTAGACTGACTGTAAGTATATACTGTTATACCAACTTCTATGTTTTTTTGTCCAAGATGCTATGATAAGGAAGGAATGCATTACAGGGGTAGTCTGTATTGGTATTGAAATGGCTGCACATTATACCTGTAGCTCACCAAATTGGCTGCAAAGGTAATAGGTTGGTCTCCTCTCCCAATTCCTTGTTCTTGAACAAAAATGGGTACTCGTTTTCCTTTGAAGTCCAGTTGAGAAAATTGCTCCCCAAAACCGTAAAATCTCTCATTTTTTTCACTTGAATAAGTGAGAAAGATCCTGTTGAAGTATTGAGAGCCTGCTGTTCTCATTGTCACTTTTTCCTCTTCTGTAGATGAAACTGTGACAATCCCTTTTTTCCTTGGAAGGAGTCTGGACCATCTGACACGGCATCGATTAATCTGCAGACCAAACTTCTGGGAAAAACTTGTGTAAGTTCTTGATGAAAGTCTTTGGGTTACTGCCACCTTAGGCTTAGGCTTTCCGAGCCTCACTTGAAAGCTAACTTGATTGCTATTTTTCTGGTAAAAAAGCAGCCAGTAGCTAGCAGAGGTAGAAGCTTCTTTTTCCGGTGTGTTCTCATTTACATGGTAACTTTGAATCTTCTTCTTCTTCTTCCTTTTCCTTACGCTGAAAACCTTTCCTCTGATCAGCAAAAGAGGAAAGTGACCATTTCTTTTGTCCAAAAGTGATGGAAAGACATAATCTTTGGCTTCCGAAGGCAAATCTGATTCATTTATGACTCTGATATCATCAATAGTTTGATGATTGCATATGAAATGAACATCCTTATCCTTGATCACAAATGACCCTCTGCTTTCAACCACCTCTGTTTCAACCGCTGCAGCAGAGATGAAAGCTTCACCAGGAATGGTGGACCATGCATGTCTGGCAGGCTGAGACTTGTGAGATATGGAAAGAAATCCGCCGTTCTTTGCTGACCAGTTCAATTGAAAATCCTGGCCAATACTATAGATCTGGTTTGAAGGGAGTGCTTGGAGATGGAGAGAGAGAGCTCCTTGAATAAAAGGGAGGGATTTTGGAGGGGAAGGGAAAGGATTGTTAAGGTGTTTGTGATGTTTCTTGGTGATCTTGAAGGCCATGATGCAAGCTGAATCTACTCTCTATGGTACTATTTATAAACCTACATCTCTTTTCATTTCTTGGGGAGGATGGGGTATTTTTGTAATTTGACCAACCTAATATATTAGATTAAAAGTCAAATCAATCTTAAAATCTAACACTGCCTAATTTTCTTTTAATTGTAGTAATTGTTTCAGGAATCAGGAATCAGGACATTAGGCTAGTCTAATTCTAGAACTTTGTAGGTGAGTTGGCGAGCCCACCAAATTCCATTGCGGATTCCGGTAGCCTTCCTCTTTTGTGCATGAAGAAATTTTGGGTAAACGCTAGTTGCTATCAGGTAAATTTCAAATGGAAATAAATTAAAAGAAAATTCCTTATCCGGGCATGCAAAAATGAAATTAATGCCATTAAAAATTGGCAGGTTATACACATCCATCGTGAGAAAAATGATGCCCGATGCCTTAACTAAATTCGCTGCTACACAACCCAGAGGAATACACCTTCTGGATCAACTTCCGGAGTTTATTGAGCCTTTGCTAGCTAATGATGTAAATGGTTGGCCTAGATGGCGCCAAACTGTATTACTTTGATGTGTTTTGGGTGTTCCCCTTCCATTGAGAATTTAAAAAAAAATGAAAAGAAAATTTATAATTTTAAATCTCAAGTAAATTGTTCCCAATCTCATCCAAAAGAGGTGCTTACAATTCAGCAAGAATTGTGTCCAATAGTGAAAATATTGGGTACACCGAAAAAACATGTGACTATTTTTAAAGGGTAGTTTTGCACTCTTTTTTTTTTTGGTTGTTGACGAGGGAAATCTAAAAGTTTATATTGGGTAAATTTTGTTCATATTAGTAAGACTTTATGCGGCAAAATCAATTAAGATGGTGTTGGTAAAAATTAAATTTGTTATCTTATAGTATTAGAATCATGCTTCATTTGCTCGATCACCTATTTTAGAAAAAGGCGCACACATTTTTTTTTTTTCTGTGTCTTTTTCAAAAAAACAAAATAATTATAATAATAATAATAGAGATGCAGTCTTAACGAATGTTATTTTGTATTTTTAACCACATTAATATAATTAAAATTTTCATTTTTGAAAGGAAACATGGAAGTCAGAGACGCCAAAGAAGGAAAAATAAATATATAGTTGGTTTTGAATTTTGAAAAAGAGAGAGAGAAAGAGAGTTTGGGACTTGGGTTGGATAGACGTAGCCACGTAGGCAGGCAGGTTTCACGTAGACGCAATTTGAGCAAAGATTCATTTTATATATACATTATTGAATTGCATATAGACGTTATATGGTGACTATGTTATTTATGTCCTCATGTTTACCTAAATCCAGTCAATATTCACAATTTCACATACGACTTCCCAACCTGGGTTTCATACACTTTCTTTCATTTTCCGGTTTTTTTTTTTTTCTTTTTTAATTGGTTTTTAGGAAAAATCATGCCTCTGGCATGTCAAAATCTTTACGAAATATAGTTTAGGAGAATAAATTTGAGATTTTAAATAAAAATTTGAAAATTAAATTTTTATTTAACTCATAATAGTATTTTTAAAAAGGTATCAATTCCTTTCCAAAAAAAAAAAGGGGGTCAATTTCAAGGTGTATAAACCTATTCAATTCTAATTAAGCAACTTGATCATCAAAGAATCAATATTCTCATCACCCGGGGTTCGATTCTGTAACCAGGACCGGTTTTTGAATTTTTGCGACTTGATATATGATTTTTACTTCAAATAAGTATGAATGGTGTAACACTAGCTGAATGCAAAAATCACAATTCCTACTTCAATTCACTTCCAATTTAAATTAAGTAGTTAGGTAAAAAATAAATATTGAACCCTATTTGAGGTTCTGTGCGATTACTCATCTTGTACACCCTAAAATTCGATCATACTTGTAATCACTCATTTTGAATAGTAACATATATGCTTTCATACTACATAGTACTTCGTAGTTAGCATTATTATTATTATTATTATTATTATTATTATTATTATTATTATTCCACCTAATTCTCTCCCTCTAACAACCCCCGTAAAATTAAAATTTATCGCTAGAACACCAAACAACATATGTCACTTCAGTGTTTGTCCATGAGACGTTATGAATGTAGACGTAATATGGGACATGAGAGTTCAAATTGAAAAGTAATGCAGTTCAATAATTATTATTATTATTTCTAATAAATTTCTTGTGTGAGGGTTGGAATCCATTGGTGGGTACCATTTTAGCCTAATTCATAGGCTCGAAATAGATTTAAAAAAAAAAAAAAAAATCCAAATCCCCTCTGAGCAGTCTCCATGCCCTTTCACTCTCAAAAGTCGAAATCTTTAAGGTGCAAGAATGGTGTACAAGTGAAAGAAGCTATGTTTTGTTTACCATATTCCGTGTATAACTTCATTCTATTTTCGCGTGTAAATGGCAACCACCATTAATTCACAATTCTGCTGGGCTATTTCTTCTCCATGCACGGACCCATCATCACCTACTTGTCTTCTTCTTAACGTTATTTTGGAGGATATTAATAATAAGGGAAAATAGTCAAATACACCCCTTAACTTTATATGAGAAGTTAATTAGGCCCCTAAACTTTTAAAAGTTACAATTAAACTTATCAACTTGTTATTTTCATACATTTAGACCCAACAACAAATTAATTACCTGTAATAACAGGTAAAATGCTGACGTGACATTTTTCCAAATAAAGAATAATATAAATTTAATGGAGTATATTTTTTTTTAACTCAGAGAGAGAGAGAAAAGATGGCAGCCATCGCTGCCATCTTCTTCTTGCCTCTGTCGTCTCCACAAACTATTTTTTTTTTATTTTTTAACACATAAAGTATATTATTCTAACTCATAAAGTAATCTTACCCCACAAATTTCATTCTAACACAGTATATTATTCTAACTCATAAAATGCATTATTTTACCCTAAAATGTTCATTATTTTAACACATAAGTATATGCACCACGAATTTATTTTTTAACGTCAAAACGATAACATTTTGGACCCTAGTCCATCCAATAATTTTCCAATTAGCTGGCAAAAGGCCCAAGCATGTGTTAAGGGCAATTTATATCCTACACCACGGCGCGCGTTGCACTATGCGCCCAGATGCAAAACGACGTCGTTTTAATTTTTTTTTTTTTTTTTGAAATTTCCCGCCCCAGTGAATGGCAGTAGTTTTTTCTTTAAAAAAAAAAAAAAAAAAAAAAACCGCTGTTCAAGAATGTACATAATATTATACTAGAATACACATAATTGTATACATGAATGTACATAATTATATAACAAAATATACATACTCTTTTTAAAAGATAATACACATAATCTAACATAATACATAATAAACATAAACTTTTAACATAATACACATCAACTCTTAACATAATACGCACAAATTTTCTGATTCGGATGTACATAATTGTATAAAAAGAATGTACATAATTGTATAAAAAATGTACATAACTGTATGAACCAATACACATAACTTTGTGAACAAATACACATAATCCCAGCAACTTCCTACCGCGCCTCCCAAAACGAAGTCGTTTTGGGAGGCGCGCGGCGCACAGTGCTATGTGAAAAAGTCAGGCCCAAGAGCTTTATCTACTTCCTGACTTTTTGAAAAGAAGTGACTCAAAAGTGGAGGCAAAGTTTAACCATGGTGTAGGTAAAAGTGTGATCCATGAAATAAATATCATTTTAATTACACTTCAATTCATTTGACAATATTGTTATGTTTTTTAGTTTCATCTTTTCCATACATTAGTTTCATTATAGTAATACTAAAGTATCATTTTAATTCTACTACAGTTTCATTTGACAATATACATTATTACATGAGTTCCATTTTGTAGTTTCATTTTTCACATACACACTAGTTTAATTATAATAATATTAGAGTATTATTTTAAATTTTTAATTACACTCTAAGTTATTTGACAATATATATTATTGTATGACTTTGGATTTTAATTTCATTTTTCACATACACTAGTTTCATTATAACAACACTACAGTATCATTTTAATTATACTATAGTTTCATTTGATTATATACGTTATTGAATGAGCTCTGATTTTTAGTTTCATTTTCCACGCACACTAATTTCATTATAGCAAACTGAAGTATCATTTTAATTCTATAACAGTTTCATTTGACGACCATGATCCACATAGCACAATGGACCATGGTCCATTGTATAACAATTGAAAAGTGGAGATGTAGGCCAACTTCCACAGTTTCGGTAAATTTTATGTGGACCATGTATCAAAACATATTCACAAAATAATATGTTTTATCATACAAATAATGAACTTTGTGCATACAAATAGTGTACTTTGATACTGAATATTAGATTTCTAAATAAAGGGGATAGGGTGTGTTGAAAAAGTCCAACTATATTCTACAAATAATGAACCTCATGTACAACAAAAATGAATCTAGAGTATATATGCATAAATAATCAACCTTCAATCAATTTGTAAATACTCAAATAATGAAACCTTATGCACACAAATAATGAACCTATGTATATAAATAATGAACATTCTAGTTGTTTTCGTATTATTTTGTACATATTTAATTAATGAACATTACGTATAAAAATAATGTACTTTATGCATAGAAAATAATATATTTTATGCATAAAAATAGTGTACCCTATACATGGTCCACACAACTATATGAACCATTGTCAACCTAATAAGCATTGCACAATTTCAAGGTAATCCTGTTGAGCTGTCGAAACTCAAACTTATTAGGCTAAAAGTTTTAACCCTAACCTTAAAAACCTCGACTACCATGTAAGCTCAGCTACTTCATTTGACATTTTTAAAATAACATTTTAAAAATTCAATTTTAACAAACTAACATATTTGCATTATAAATATAAATTTATAACACCATTTAATCAAACAAAATCTCAAATTTAGGACTTGCCCTAACGGCTAACCCTTAAATTTTTCAATAAGCCCTAACCTTTAAATTTTTCAATCTTATCAAGTCAACCCATCAGTTTTGGGTTAAAGATTGAAATCCCTACTCAAAGGTGCAAAAATGACGGTGGCACTGTGGATCATAGAGCAGAATAGTTAGACAAAAAGATGTGCCTTTATTCAAGCTTTAAAATGTATACAATGACAACAATGCTCTTCAGAGAGGTTGTTTACTCCAAAAACATGAATTTCAACAACTGATGCTTACCACAAATCCGGAATGAACCAAGTTGGGCAAGAATATTGGGAATTATTGCCCACATTATGCAAATCAGTATTCTTGTCTTTCAGATTATAAACAAACATATAATTTCCTATGTACTTACGTTGGCATGCCAAGAAGCTATCCAAGTTGTCCTTTGCATAGTAGATGCAATTGGGTTGGAGAGAGTCATGTCCGGGAACTGAAGTACAATGGTGATCATCCACAACGAGGGCAAAGTCACCCAGATCCTCCAGACTTACCCACTTTCTATGACTGAAATCAAATCTGAACACTTTAAACTTCACTAGGGGGGTGTTTCTCTGTTCACTTTCATAATAAACTGCCATCAAAAGACTCCCTGATGATTCCACCAAATATAGTTGCTGCCAGTTCTCTTCAGACGGGCGA